TGCCTCATCCTGGGAGCAGATGCGGCGGAGGCGAAGGAATTGGGAATAGGGGATAGCATTTTTGCAGGAAGGTGGGTGGGAGGAGGAGTATTCTAGGTAGCTGTGGGAGTCGGTGGGCTTGAAATGAATATCGGTTTCGAGGTGGTTGCCCGATATGGAGACAGAGAGGTCCAGGAAGGGGAGAGAGGTGTTAGAGATGGTCCAGGTAAATTTAAGGTTGGGGTGGAAGGTGTTAGTGAAGTGTATGAACTGTTCGAGCTCCTCGTGGGAGCACGAGGCGGCACCGATACAGTCATCAATGTAACGGAGGAAGAGGTGGGGTTTAGGGCCGGTGTAGGTACGGAAGAGGGATTGTTCCACGTAACCTACAAAGAGGCAGGCGTAGCTTGGGCCCATGCGGGTACCCATGGCTACCCCCTTTGTCTGTAGGAAGTGGGAGGAATTGAAAGAGAAGTTGTTGAGTGCGAGGACGAGTTCGGCTAAGCGGATGAGGGTGTCAGTGGAGGGGGACTGGTCGGGCCTGCGGGACAGGAAGAAGCGGAGGGCCTTAAGGCCATCTGCATGGGGAATGCAGGTGTAGAGGGACTGGACGTCCATGGTAAAGATGAGGTGTTGGGGACCGGGGAATTGGAAGTTCTGGAGGAGGTGGAGGGCGTGGGTGGTGTCACGGACATAGGTAGGGAGTTCCTGGACCAAGGGGGAGAAAATGGAGTCGAGATAGTTGGAGATCAGTTCGGTGAGGCAGGAGCAGGCGGAGACAATGGGTCGACCAGGGCATTCAGGTTTGTGGATTTTGGGAAGGAGATAGAAGCGGGCAGTGCGAGGTTGGGGAACGATGAGGTTGGAGGCCGTGGGTGGGAGGTCACCTGAGGTGATGAGGTTGTGGATGGTTTGCGAGATGATGAATCCTTCGCTTTCCAGCCTCCTGATTTCTGCCTCTACTTTTGCACATGAAGCAAATGGCACTGGGCAGGCCTTGCAGAATCGTGGAATTGCTTCCTGGGCAACATGCCAAGTGGCCTTGGCTCCTTTGATAGTCCCTACACCTTAAAAGTTTTGGCAAAGATCTGCAGCTCGGGTTGTGGGTGAGGTTGTTGTCTTGCTCGCCGAGCTGGATTGTTCTCGTTCAGACATTTCATCACCAAGCTAGGTGACATCATCAGTGGAGCCTCCAATGAAACGGTGTTATTCTACTCCGCTCGGAATTTATACTGTTTGGTCCGCCATACCGGACAGTATAAATTCCAAGCAGAGTAGAATGACATCAGGGTTCCTTGATTGGACCAGATTAACAGCCTTAATCAGGGAACTCATATTCATTACAATCACTACAGCTTGCTCTCTTCAGAGTTCATTCTTGCTCCCTCAAAAGCTTTCCTGTGTCATTTCTGTGCCAGTTGATGGTTAGCTTTCCATTTTATCTTAACGTCTCTCTAAAGTAACGCTGTCTTTAGCTGTGGAATCACCTGAACTCCAACGCCTTCTCACTTCCTTGCTACCTATGTAAATCTTTCACAAATTTTCTCTTTTATTTCTATGCCTTTCAATTTATCTGCTGGATTTCTGCCTGTTGTGTATCTAAAGCTCAGCACATACAGCAATAAGCAATAGATATGTTGAAGGTGAATAGAGAGGACAGATTTTCAGGCTAGTGGATGAGTGAAAGGCAAAATTAAATGCTTGAACCTCGGGTTGACTTGAAGCAATGCGGTTTGCACCCTCTGGAATTTCTTATTAGATTCAGGTAAACAAGTGGGAAACATAGAAACTAGGAGCAGGAGTAGGCCATTCGGCCTTTGAGTCTGCTCTGCCATTCAATATGATCATCCAACTCAGTTCCTGTTCCAACTTTCTCCCCATACCTTTTGATCCCTTTAGCTCTAAGACTTATATCTAACTCCTTCTTGAAAACATTGTGTTTTTGCCTCAGCTACTTTCTGTTCCACAGACTCACCATTCTCTGCGTGAAGAAGTTTCTCCTCATCTCAGTCTGAAAAGGCCCACCCCATATCCTGAGCTTCTTCGTTTCCTATAAAGTTATGGTATGATTGTAAACAAACTTTCTTGAGCTGGGAGGCAGGATATCAGCTATGAACAAGCAAGATTCCGAAATCCGACTGTAAGAGCTTTTTTGCACAATCTGAAGATTGTGTAGTGGAAATAAAGAGAAAGTCCAGAATCATTGAATGTTGCAGTGCAGAAGGCCAACTGGCAAAACGATTGGGCAAACTATTGGATTTAAAGAAAACACACGTTATTCATCCACTATAATTAAAATACAACAAAAGAAAGAGGAATTGGAACAACTTTGCCCTATTGGAATAACTTAACAGGACAATGGATACAGTAACTATTACTAATTAACTATTCCAATACAGCAACATCCTATAAACGCATGGTGGCTCAGTGGTTAGCACTGCTACCTCACAGTGCTGGAGGCCTGGGTTCAATTCCCCCTCAGACAACTGTCTGCACGTTCTCCTGGTGTCAGTGTGGGTTTCCTCTAGGTACTCTGGTTTCCTCCCTTTGTCTTTAATAAGACTCTTTCTAGGTAGCAAGTCTTAATAAATAATTAATCAAACGAGCCCTGGTGACGTTTTGACATTCGCCAGTGGTCAAACAAATCATTTGCTACAGACTGGACAGTATCAGAGTTGGAATACTCATTATCTGTATGGAACAAGAGGTATAAGAAAGCTTGCTTCGGAGCATAGTCAGCTAGCTCAGGAGGGATGAGCTGGAGTAGGCTCATCACCTGTTTCAGTCTGATCCTCAGTCAAGTCCACATAAACTGACTTGCTTGTGACTGCCAGCATTATATGGGTGATTATTTTTGCAGTATTTTTGCAGTGCAATTTGCTTCAATGAAGAATATTGGATATATCTCATTGCTAGATCATTGACATCCTGAGTAAATCCCACAGACTAGGGTAACTGTGAATAAAAGCCTACATATTTGATAGGACACAAGCTAGGTATGGTGGCATAGTGATAACATCACTAAATTGAGAATCCAGAGGCCAGGGATAATTCTCTGGGGACAGGGCAGCAAGCAGAATTTAAATTCAATCAATAAATCTGAGATATAAAGCTCGGCTCCGTAACAGTCATCAATCACAACAACTTTTTCATCGATCATTGTGAAAACCCATCTGTCTCCCAAGTGCTCTTTAGGGAAAGGGAATCTGCTATCCTCACCTTGTACATGTGAGTCCAGAGACACCGCAATGCAGTTAGGGCAATAAAGGATGGGCAACAAATGTTGATCTTGCCAGCTACACCTATATGCCATGAAAGCGAGGAACAACAATAGCCAGAGATACATTATAGAAGCATCAAGGTCACTACAGGAAACAATCAGGCCCAAGGGGACAAACCCAGAGTTAGTACTTGTCAGGTGAGATAATTGGTTTGTTGTCAGAGATAATGAGAGAGGATGGGAAGGAGGTATTTTCAAATTAATACATTGGGGAAGATTTACACTACTTACAAATATTTTACACATAGGATGTAGCTCCTTTTTCTGCTCATGGGATACAAGCATCACCAATTGGGCTAACATTTATTGCCCAGGTGGTGGCAGAGCTACCTTCTCAAGCTGCTGTAATTCTTGCGGTGTAGACATCCAGTGCTGTTAAGACAGTACTACAAAATAACCTTACGACTGTAGTCTCTGGTTACCAATACTTCAGTCATAAGTTTCTCACTTCACCCAAAACCTTCACTTGACACCGCTATTGAAGCTGCAATTTCCCATTGTTGCTCCAAGAAGCAGCCTGGTTTCTCAATCTACTTAATCCCATAATCCAGGACCACTTTTAGTACATCCCTTGCTTTCATACCCTACCTATAACTTGGTGACAAAAGACTGGACCTAATACTCCAATTGGAGTCAGGTCAACAAGCGTTTTATCACTACATTGTGCAGTACACATTTCTGAAGGTCAGGACACCAATTTACTTGTTTTTGTCACTTTTAAAGATTTGGGCAGACATGCACAGCTACGTTCTAGCATCCCCTTTTAACACTTCTAACATCCCTATTTTTACCAAAACCCATCACCTCACATTCCTGTAAAATTTAATCTACAACAAATACTCATTGCCATCAGCTCATATGCTCTGACAACTTGTATTTTCCCAAGTTTCATATCATTTGCAGTTTTTAAAAATGGTGTACTGCATCAAAATCATGAATGTACATCATGTGCCTAAGAGTATTAGGAAGTTAGTCAAATGTGGAAGGTGAAATAAGTGAATAAATGATGACATCTGAATGAACAGCTATGCTGTATTTCATGAAATAAACAGAAGGTATTTCGGTGAGTGACTGGGCATAGCAAACAAAAATCAATTATCAATCAGTTTATAGGTATTAACCAAGAACTTGAAACAAACAAACTAGCATCAGCCCGTGTCAAGACTTGCCTTTCATACTGATCTCTTCTGAACTTCTAAAGCCGCAAACATTCCAACATTTTTTTATTTCCATAAAGGGTTAATATGATTAAAGAGCAAGGTAAGAGACCTATTCCCGTGTCTATTTTTGATTAAACATGAATAAGTGTACCCAAGAAAAGAACTGAATAATCTGAAAAATCAACTGAATTAAGATTCCGCTTTTAAGGCTTTTTCTTCAGAGATTTTCACCCAGATTGATTGAATCCAAACATCTCCTACACATCAAATCCTCAATAGACTTGTAAAGTTCTAACTGGGGCAGCAGAATACCATGCAATCCCGTGAGTCTGCTCCAGCATTCTACAAGAGCATGGCTGATCTGATTATGGCTTTAGCTCCACTTTCCTGCTGATCACCTCATAGCCCCCAGGTTCCCAGTTAAAAATCTGCCTATCTCCGCTCTGAATAGCGCAACCAAACCTTCGTGACTGCCGAGAACTTAGAATTCCCAACACTTCAGTTGCCCAAACTCTACAACTGAACTTCAAAATAATTTCTCAATTTTCACAAAATAACAAAAAAAATCAAAGCCAAGCTGGTATGGTGAGCAATCTTTAATTGTTTGACAGTCTGTACAAGAGAATGAGTTTATTTTTTAGACTCTTCTTCCTTAGACAGAGTCTTGATGATCTCTTCCTTCTTGGCCTGCAGACGCTCTTCACGACGCTTACGAGCTTCCTTGGTCCTCGTTCTGCGAGCTTCGGCCTGGTCACTGCAACACAAACAACTCCGGTCAACACTTCGCTTTTGAGCTTCTCTTACAAAGTTTTCATCACAGTACGCATTCTAACTTTATAACGAGAGCTTGTTAGGCTTTGGCAACAGTTCAGTAGTTTTATGGTCAACTTTTAAGAATACTAGTTTCCCCAGATCCTTTGACCAGACCTTCAGCTTACAGTCCATTCATATCACTATGTTACTACACCCCAGGTTGGCTAGGATAGCTTGTGTTTAGAATAGCATACAATCATAGATCAATGCCAATGTGAAATTAATTTACAAAGGTTGACATTCATAATTACAGAATTTTGCACTGATGCTTAAAAGTCTCCAGTTAGAAAATAGTCAGCTGCACGAGTTAAAAGAGCACAATACTATTCTACCCCCCAAGTTAAACTCCACATTGCAGTATTAGTTAGAAAATGATCTTTGCAGGCCTTTGCAAAATACTCACGCCAATAATTTCTTGCGAGCCTTGTCTGCCTTCAGCTTGTGAATGTGCTCCATCAAGATACGTTTATTTTTGAACACATTACCTTTCACCTTCAGATACAGACTGTGGTACCTATAAGGGCACAATGTAAAAATTATAAGTACACTCTCTTCACACTACTGGCATCAGAACCCAAAATACACTAAAGGATAAAGCAATAGACACTGCATTTTATAAACATAGCAATCCTAAATCAACAAGGATTGTGCAATAAAACTTGACAGAAAATTAAGTAACAGATTATGACAATTAGTTAAAGCAGTGTTGAAGTTTTTTTTAATATAAGTAAAACCAAATTTACAAATCAGACATATCACTGCCACATTAATCATAGGCCTCAACCTAAATTGTGATATTCAACAGGGATTCCAGACTTTCAAATTATTACCTTTAGCACGGAAGCTGTTGTTATTAAATCTATGAACATAAGCCAGAGATTACAAGCAAATCCAGAGAACTTCTTGGCACTGAACTGCACAAGTACAGTGTAACTTCACCACCACCCACATTCCATCTAAATTCCTGGGTTTACATGGCAGTCTAAGATCTAGGCAGCAAATAAGAAGCCACTTGAGGTCCAGGTGAGGCACAAAACATGACACACAGCACTGGCCAACCTTTGAATACGTTCTTTGTTTTATACAAGAAAAACCAGAATTATCAGAAAGCCTAAACAGCAACTGAATGGGATGGACTGGCAATTTTGCAGAAAAAAAAAGCACAATTTAGCTCATCACTAATAGTTAATATTTAACCATCTAAAAGGATGCACTGAGCAAACATAATGGAGAATTGAAGAGACATTCCATTCAAAAGAAAGACAATTCTACAGGACTCAACAGATCACAGGTAAAAGCTTTGCAAAGTTTGATGAGAACTTTGTTCAGAGATAGAGATCAGTGAATCCAGTTTCCTGATGTACCCGAAGAGCAAGGCGTGGCAAGCCAAAAGGATAATTTCAAACTCTGGGGACAGGGACTATTGAATTACTTTCCTGATTTTCCCTCCAGCCATAACACCAATTCTTTTTTGCCTGTCTATACGTGTATGTAGGGGACTTTATAAAGGACATTAGAGTTATATATTGACAGTTCATAATTGGTTACTTGTCACTAGAATCTATTTTTTGCAATAAATAGTAATCCCTGTTAAATACAGAGGACTGGTTTGCACTTTGCCAATCTGGATCTAAAAAGACAACAGGTGAATCTCTCACGTTTTTTAATACAATCTATTCTTTGTGACAACTCGGGGAATAATAGGGCTTGATTTCCAGCATGTTACCCAGTGAGGCATGACACTGGGGAAGCATTATAATTGATCCTTGCACCTCTGGACTAACGAGCGTTTAAAGCTGGACTTTCCAGCAACTAGAATGCAACATGGGTATCCAGATCAGAAATAACAATGTGGCCAAGGCAGAAGTTGACTGAAGCTGAGCCTGAAAGCTTAGTTAGGGCTGAACATTAAGTAATCTTACATGTGGCGATCAATCTTCTTAGACTCCCTGTATCTGCGAAGCAGACGCCTCAGAATTCTCATTCTCCTCATCCAGGCCAGTTTCTCTGGCATGCGGGCATTAGCAGTACCCTTTCGCTTACCTAAGCATTGACAGAGAGCACAAATTTAATGGTAACAAAACTGCAGACAGTGGAAGAAGAAAACTCAAAGACTGATTCCTATAATATGCTGTGAGGAGACAGGGAAGACACGTAAATTTGAGTCTGCAAACAAGGTACCCTTAGTGATTACTTCAGAGAAACCCACAAGCTGGCTCATGGCACAGAAATGGCAAAGCCACAATTAAATTTGCCTTTGTTACTATATAGCATAATAATCAAATTTTCGAATTTTATAACCAGTGATCTGGCGTATTCATGATGCATTTACAAAGAAAAGAATGGGTCTTGCAACAGCAACAGCAACAGCAGAGGGCATCACAAGCCCATTTCAAAACGGTGCTACATTTTAAATATCCCATCTGCAAACCAAACTTTTGTTAAAGATTCTCGAATATACCAAGAACTGCAGACGCTGGAGCCGGAGTCAACACAGTAGGTCAGGCAGCACCAAAGGAGCAGGAAAGTCAACGTTTCCGGTCAGAACCCTTCTTCAGAACTGGAGAAGGATCCTGGACAGAAACGTCGACTTTCCTTCTCCTCTAATGCTGTCTGACCTGCTGCGTTCCTCCAGCTCCACACTGTCGATTTTGTTAAAGATTACCCTCTTGTGGCAACAAGCTAAATTTCACCAACTCAAAGCAGTTTTCTGAACTCAAGTTTCACATGGCAAAGGTGAAGTCACTAATTTATCTCAAACACCAGGGTTAACTATGTTCTTCTCAGACATAACACCATGGGAATTTCTACATCGACCCAAGGGGGTACAGGGACACTCTTGACAGCTCAAAAAAAATGACACTTCTGACAACGTAGCACATCCTCAAACCTGGCACTGTAGTGTCAGGCTAGATGTTTGTACTCAAGTGGTAACTGAACCCACAACCTCCTTAGACAGGAGTGCTCCCTGACCAATCACAGTTAACATGAGGGATAACCCAAAGTAAAAGTAGCCCCTTATTATCCAGCAGACAGATATGACATTGCTATTCTAACTTTGCAGTGGAAAATGAAAGAGACTAAGAGAAGGGTTAAATTCAGCGCTGTCAGTATTCACTGGTTAACATTTGTAAACCTGTGTGGGTCTGAAATTAAAAATGCTCGATCTACAGTTGCTACCCTCCGTACACTAAAACTTCTCAGACTGTGGGGTGATACAGGAAACAGAGGACATGCAAAATGTTCTCAGGACATTTTTATTCCCTGTAGTCAAGACAAAAGAATTTTATTTTACCAATGCCCATGTGTCGACCCTTCCTCCGTGCAAGGGTGTTCTTCCTGCATCGAGCCCGCGAATGTACAGTCACAGGCTTGCGGATGATCAGACCATCTTTAACCAATTTCCTAATCTGTTGACCTACAGAAGCAAAGAAAATTTGACAAGGAACTCTGTTCCAATAACATACACTTGAGAAGTAAAATTTAACAGTACAAGTGATCTAAAATTTAATGCTCTAATCAAATTGTAGTACAGTCAAGCTAAAACCGTCCTCATGTTACAACTGCAAAAAGCTGACCATCAGAACCAGACTAATAGACTAGAACTGCACAAGACTAAACCTCTAAATCAAACACAGCATGCTCATTATCGATGACAAGATAAATCACTATATTTAACACAAGAAGAATAAGACAGACTTTGAAAACATTTGAGCAATAAGTTTAGAAAGTACTTTTCACATCTTCTAAAAACCTCAAAATCATTGTTAATCTTGCTGAAATTACAATAACCAATTTGACAAACAACAATCACAAATGAGATGAATGCCTGATGCTCGACTTTAGTGGCATTGTTTAAGGGATAAATATTGAGGAAGCCAGAGTCCCTGCTCTTCTGAATTAAGCAATTTGTCCTTAGCACTGACTTCAGGAGTGACCTCCTCAGTACTTTCTTTGCAGCAATTACATCCTTCCTGTCCTCACACCGGAAGGTACAAGGTTATTCCTGTCCTTAAGAGAACTAGTTGAGTAAAGATCTGTTATAGTGACCCCAGCTAACTGCAAGAGGCAGATCCAAGAACAAAATCCAACTTGACACATGACAGTTTTATTCATGCAATTTGTCAAGCACCAAACATATCCATTTAAAGCTACCAATGTACTTCTAAAAAAAAGGAACAAACTGTATTACACAAAAAAAAGAAAAACTTTGATGCACTAACAATGGCTTGAAACAGTATGGTTACAAATACAAGAAAAATTCAACCCATGAACTGCACAAGTTTAGACACAAACTCCAGTGAAGTGTCACCTGTTTTCGACACTAACTCCTTGATCTGGAAACACAACCATAATGGGTTTCCTCATCAGTAAGAAGCCAAACTTTCAACCAATAATAATATCATGAACGTTCATCAGATCTTGGTTATAACAAAACCCTTACTTACGGGAATTGGCGTTAGCAATCTCATTGGTTTCATTGGGATCCAGCCATACCTTCTTCTTACCACAGCGCAGAACGCTGGAGGCAAGCCTCTTCTGAAGCCGGAGCATACTACAGATCAAAAATAAATCAATATTTTCTTAGAGTTCTAGATACTTAACACTGATTAAGCATTTTCCCTAGGCACTTAGTTATGTAACAATATACGACATGACAGTAAAGTTGCAGGCTATAACAATACTATCAAATTATAATTCATCCCATTGTCATAAATCAAACAGATCCCTGATCGCCTAAACAGTAAGTAGCAAACTAAATGTCAACCAACAAGGGCTGCACCTTTAAAGTGAAAGGCAGGAGGTTTAGAGGGGATTTGAGGCTTTTTAAAAAAAAAACAGACCAGAGGATGTTGGGGGGTGGTGGTCCGTAACTACACTCCCAGGCAGTGTATTATGGCAGGAAACGTCACAAACTTTAACAAGTACTTGGATGAATACATGAAAAAGTCATCACATTTAAGGGCCTAGTTCAGGAAAGTGAGACTAGTGTGGTGGAAGTTTTGGCTCAACGGGCTGAAGGGTCTCTTCTGTGCCCCAAGATTCTATACAGGTCTCATCCTCCTTCATTTACATCTGAAATGAAGTAATTAATTACTTAAAATTATGTGAAATGTGACACTAACGCCATTTGGAAGTGGCAGAGTAAGGTTCAAGGATCATTTGAAGTATGATCAATCTTAGGTTTTATAAAGAGAGCACAAGACAAGGGGAAATTGGAAAACACAATAGAACTGAAGGCAGAGTCAAATAAGAGTCAGTGCTCAAAGGCAGAACATGAAAGAGAAATTCAAGCCATTGCTTCACTTTTACTACATTACAAAATTAGCTTATGTTTCACATTAAGTGATATCATTTCCAATGTCATGGTTAACTTCATGTTATCTTAAGCATCTCATGAGTAAGAATTTTACAGGTTAGTGTCTCAAATGCATTAGTATAGAAAATGGTGTAAAGTGTTTCCTAGTGTCAAGAATCTCAGCAGTCAGCACTGACATCCCCTCCCCAAGCCCTTCTACAAGAAAACTCCAGAATGATAATCGAGTATGCAGTAAGTGCCATTAGATTCCCATCAGATTCCCATCAAACGCGTTCCAGGAAACGGTCACGGTGAAGGAGTGAGCAACCGTCAGTCAGAAAGGAACATCCATGCACGAGCTCTCAACTTATTTTCAGTTTTGAATGCCAGCGAGGGTGACAACTTGGAAAAGTGAAGCAAGTATCAAACCCCTGGCACCAATGGAACAACGTGATTTAGGGAACAGGTGAGTGCTTCTGTAACCATAATCCTGGTGCTTGAATGTTACACTTCTCCACGCTACCAGGATTAATGACATAAACTGGCTGCAGGATATTCTAACAGAATGTATGGTTCACAGTGGAACTAAAGTATTGAGCTGCTTCAGACAGTTTGGGGGTTAGCAGAAAACAAGAACTTCAAAATTAAAATCTCAATATTACTGCCAGTGCTAAATGCTAGTGAGAAAAGGAACATGACTCAAGCTATATAACTTTATTCAAACAACTCCCCGCTGTTGCCACAATAGCACTTCCTTGTCAAATCAAAGTTGGTTCTCCATCTAATCTGCACCCATTGTGTGCCTTCTTGGATGAACTAGAATCAATTGAAATTTGGCACTCCTGCATTTGGCCTCATGAGTGCAACATGAAATATTTCAGCAAAATGTCTCTTTTCAGCAATAATCTCTGCATGTTAATCATTCCCATATACACTTGGCAGACACTGCACAATCTTGGATACCACACTGCAAGAACCACCGAAAGATCTGAGTGAGAGCAGGAAGTAGCAGAATGACAGCAAAAACACAGGACTGCAGTCACATAAAGATGCAAGCCACTGGGATTTCTTTCCTCAAGGAGAAATTTAACAAGGTCAAAATTATAAAGGCTGCGGAAACAGATATTAGATTGGTTGCAGCAAAGCCATCAGTAAATTTGTAACCCACTACTGAAGATATTTATTGAGGGGTCATTGGCCTGAAACACAAACTCAAGTTTCTCTCTCCCAGGTAATGAATATTTCCAGCAGTTTTTATTTCAGAATTCCCATTATAATGCGCTTATCAAGGGGGTTCGCCAATGGTTTAACTAAAAATGGAATAAAGTTGATGGCGTTGGGAAAGAGATTAGTTATGTTTATTAAACTGAACACAAGAAGGTGGAGGCATCCTGAAATGTGTTTGGAAGGTACCGGATGGTAGACAGGATAGTGAAGGCGGCGTTTAGTATGCTTGCCTTTATTGGTCAGTGCATTGAGTATGAGAGTCAGGAGGTCATGTTGTGGCCATACAGAACATTGGTTTGGCCACTATTGGAATACTGCGTGCAGTTCTAGTCCTCCTCCTATAGGAAGGATGTTGTGAAACTAAAAAGGGATCAGAAAAGATTTACGAGGATGCTGTCGGAGTTGGAGGGTTTGAGCTATAGGGAGAGGCTGAATAGGCTGTGGCTATTTTCCCTGGAGCGTCAGTGGCTAAGGGTGACCTTATAAAAGTTTACAAAATCATGAGGAGCATGGATAGGGTAAATAGGCACGGTCTTTTCCCTGGGGTGGGGAGTCCAAAACTAGATGGCATGGGTTTAAGGTGAGAGGGCAAGATTTAAAAGGGACCTAACAGGCAACTTTTCATGCAGAGGGTTGTGTGCATATAGAATGAATTGCCAGAGGAAGTGGAAGCGGCTGGTCTGATGACAGCATTTAAAAGGCATCTAGATGGGCATGAATAGAAAGGGTTTAAAGGGATATGGGCCAAATGAGACTAGATTAATTTAGGATATCTGGTCAGCATAGATGGGTTGGACCGAAGGATCTGTTTCTGCGCAGTATATCTCTATACTTCTACATTTTCACAGCATTTTGCTGTGTAATTCTAGTCTTGAACCAGTGAGATCTAATCTGTCAATATTATTACAACAAAAGTTCTCCTCCACAATTAATGTTAATCAGACAAAGGTCTGGTTAGAGCATGCTCTTGGCCTTTAAATGCTTAAAATTTAATGCATTTACTCTTTACCAAAGGCAACCTGATACAAGCAAACAAAATTGAGGCACATGGGTATAGCAGCCAGTCAGGGGCCTTCTTCCCAGGATGGAAGTGTCAAATACTGAACAGCCATAGGTTTAAGGTACAGGGGGAAAAGTCGAAAAGAGATGATTTATACCGAGGGTGGTGTCTGGAACTTGCCTCCAGGGAAGGCAGCAGGAGGAGAGAGGATAGCAACATTTAGAGGGCATTTAGACACACACATAGACAGGTAGGGAAGAAGGATATGGACCAAGTTCAGGCAGATGTGATTAATTTAGAATGGCATCATGGTTGGCACAGACTTGGTGGGCCGAAGGGCCTGTTCCTGTTCTATGAATGTTCTCTAATACAGATTGAATACTGAAAGGGGAATTGGAAAAAAATGCAATGAGCCAGCACAGGATCGATGGGCCGAATAATCGGTACTTGCTTCATTTAAGGGCCATAAGACGACAGGAAATGCATATCGTCCAACCCAGCAGGAAGGGGCCGAACCGCAGGCCCAGGGCCCTCACTGGAGGCCGAGGCTGTGACCATGTCTAGGCCTCAGCTTCCGGGCAGTCGCCCACTGCAGGGGGCTAGGCCTCGCTTTCCTCACTGTGCCCCAGCCCACGATGGAGTAGTTAGTAACCCTCCCTGTCGGGGCCCAGTGCTCTTCTTCCCCCGAGATCCTCGGTCTCTCTCCCCGAGACCGCGCCTCCCGCTCTCACCTCATGGCGGCTCCTCGTTAGAAAGACCGAGCATGCGCACAACCCGCGCCTCATAGGTGCCCGGAGGCAGAAACCAACATCTGTAGAAAGGGGGGGAAACTCACCTCACCCACCTCATCCACACCACTGCAAAAGCCCCTAAACAAACCCCGTCATATAACAGATGAAAAACCATCAATACAAACCAATAACATGCTCGTTAAAATACTTCTGCCGGCTTAAATGTTTAAATCCACAAAAGATCTTTCAAAACTCCCCATGGCTCAGTATGGTACGTTCTACACGCGTTTTACGTTCACCGTGATGACGTCACTGACGTAGGAAGAGTGTTGATACATTTGAGACACGTGATGTGTACCATTTCCCCAATTCACTCAGTTTGCCTGAATGGCTTCAGTGTTTACTGGCTGTAACAAAGACAGCAATTCCTGGAGAAACTCAGCACTTCTTTGTCTTATTTCCTATCAGTATTTCAGCACCCTAACTGCTCTTAGTGTTCACTGTATCTTCATTTGCAGCTTTATTTTTGTTTACTCTATACATGGGATGTGGTTGTCACTCTCCAGGCCAGTACTTATTGCCCATCTCTGAATACCCAGCAGGAAGCTGAGAGTCAACCCCACTGCTTGTAGGGTTGGAGTCACATGAAAGCCAGTTCTAAGAATGGCAATTTCCCTCCGAAAGGGACGTGAGGTTTTTCCTGACAATATGGTCATTGTTAGACAACCAATTCCTTATTAATTAAAATTATCTGCCGTGACAAGATTTGAATCAGTGTCCGCAGAACATTAGATATAACTCAATGCGGAGCAGGAGGAACACAGCAGACCAGGCAGCATCAGAGGAGTAGGAAAGTTGACGTTTCGGGTCGGGACCCTTCATCCAACAAAGGGTCCCAAACCGAAACATCAACTTTCCTACTCCTCTGATGCTGCCTGGCCTGCTGTGTTCCTCCAACTCCACACTGTGTTATCTCTGACTCCAGCATCGGCAGTTCTTACTATCTCCACAGAACATTACCTGGTTTTTTGGATTAATAGCCTAGCGATAATACCACTAGACCATTATCTCTCCATTAGATATCTCTGGTAAAGTCAGCATTTGTTGCCTATCCCTGATCACAATTGATTTGAATGGCCTTGCTAGGGCCATGACAATTAACAGTCAACCACATTGCTGTCAGTTTGGAGTCATGTGCATCAAGACTGGGTAAGGGTGGTAGGTTTCCTTCCCTAATAGGCATTAATGAACCTAATGAGATTTCACATCATTGCTAGTTTTTTGATCACCATGACTGAGACTAGACTTCAAATCCAGATTTTTGTTAACTGAAATTAAATTCCATCAGCTGCCATGGTGATATTTGAACTAATGGCCTTAGAGCATTAGCCTGCGTTTTTGGCTTACTAGTCCGTTGAAGTTAATAAACTCGGAATCACTTTGAATTTCAAGTAATGAGAAGTCTGTCAGTTTAATTCCGCAGGCTACTTGTACAAAAGAGGCATTAACTGGGAAGGTGATGGCTTAGTGGTATTATCGCTGGACTGTTAATCTGGAGACCCAGATAACATTCTGTGGACCTGCATTCGAATCCTGCCATGGCAGATGTTGGAATTTGAATTTAATAAATGTCTAATCTAATGATGATCGCAAATCCATTGTCGATTGTTGGAAAGACCTATCTGGTTCACTAATGTCCTTCAGGGAAGGAAATTGTCATCCTCCCCAACCCGAAATATTGAGTTTCCTGTTCCTCTGATGCTGCCTGACCTGTTGTGTTCCTCCAGCTCCACTGTGTAGTCTTTGAAATTGCCATCCTTATCTGGTTTGGCCTACATGTCATCCAGACCCACAACAATGTGGTTGAATGTTAACTGCCCCTCTGGGCAATTAGGGATGGGCAACAAATGTTGCCTAGCCTGCGACGCCCTTATCCCGTGAATGAATAAAAACAAAACTCAGGCGGTCTAGAGATAACAAGATGTAGAGCTGGATGAACACAGCAGAGGAGCAGGAAGGCTGACGTTTTGGGCCTAGACCCTTCTTCAGAAGCATGCCATTTTCTGAAGAAGGGTCTAGGCCCGAAACGTCAGCATCCCTGCTCCTCTGATGCTACTTGGCCTGCTGTGTTCATCCAGCTCTACACCTTGTTATCTCAGATTCTCCAGCATCTGCAGTTCCTACTACCTCTCAGATGGTCTAGACCTGTTTATACTGATCCCCTCAAACATTGCATGCTATGCAGCTGAAATTTATTCCTGTTACTGGTACATAATACTTTAGTTCCTATCTCTAATGTATAATATGGTAAAAATACAACAACATATAGCAAGCAGTTATGTTGAAAATTGGATGCTGCCAATAGCAGGTCAGGAAGCATCTACAGAGAAAATGAGTCAACCTTTCCGGCAATTTACCTTTCACTACATTGTATCATTCACAAAACATCAGAAAGTGTTTCACAAACAATGAATCACTTTTTGAAGTTTAGGACCCGGTACAAAGGAGGAAAAACAGCAAGCTTGCAAAAGTAACATAGTGAAAATGACTAGAATCATAGAATCCCTACAGAGTGGAAGTATGCCATTCAGCCCGTACTAACCCTCCAAACAGCATCCCACCCAGACCCACCCCTATCCCTGTAACCCTGCATTTCCCATGGGTAACACAACTAGCCTACACAACCCTGGACACTCTGGGTAATTTCCCATGTCTAATCCACCTAACCTGCACATCTTTGGACTGTGGGAGGAAACCAGAGCACCCGGAGGAAATTGACACAGACACAGGGAAAACATGCAAACTCCATACAGGCAGTCACCTGAGGCTAGAATTGAACCCAGGTCCCTGGCCCTGTGATGTAGCAGTGCTAACCCACTGAGCCACCGTGCTGACCGAAACTAGTTAATCTGTTATTTAGGTTGTGTGATTTAGGTTGAGTCCTAAATATTTGATCAGTCCAGCAGGGATAATTCCCCTGCTCTTCTTAAAGATAGTGTCATGCTTCTATATCCATCTTAAGAGAGGAGAGATTACCTTTGTTTTTATTCATTCATGGGATGTGACATTGCTGAAAGTAACCTATAATAGATAGTCACATTCTTAGTTATCCCCAACCAATGAACTTATGGTTTATCTGTGATATTGCACTTTTGTGCTGGGCCCCTAATCCTGGGCATCAATTTATCCAGTTAAAAAAAAATTACAAACTAAGAGCCGAAACCAGCCAGAAAAAAGCACCTCTTCCCCACCGCACCGAGTTCCCACATTGCCTCTAAATCCCCAAATATTTATTCACTCAGATTGTCTCTCACTCTGGATGGGATCTCTCATTCCTTACTGCGTGAAGCTTACTGCTTGTGCGCTTTCATCAAGATGGTTAGATTTTTGTTAGCGAAGACAATTTGGAGATAAGGATTCAAAGTGGCTCAATGGGATTAAGATGATGTTCACCGTTACTGCTTTGTATTTCTCCATTGTATCCACTCAATTTCTTTTTCTTAGAATGTTACATTTCATATTATAATGACCCCAAGACCTTTCTAATCTCATAACTTCTGTAAAGTCTAGGACCACCATAGTCCCACTCTCCCATTAAACAACTGATGGTGGTTTAACCAGAGGAGAGAGGTTGAGGAGAGTCCTTCGTGGTAACCTTAGCTGGAGCAAGCATTAAACCCATGCTGTGGGTGTCACTCTACATCACAACCCAGCCATCCAGCCAGGTAATGCAACACAGGGCATTGTACAGCTTTTAAATGATGCTGCAGTGATGAGGGAGTTGGGAACAACAGGGGACAGGACTGATTTTAGATACCATCCTATATTCTCATAATCATGCAGATTGAAAACAGTGGATTGGAATTGTGTGCAGTTCTGGTTGCCACATTAGGAAGATTGTGGAGGCTTTAGAGAGGGTGCAAAAATGTTTGCCAGAATTGAGATTTATTAACTATAAGAAGAGTTTCAACAAACTTAGATTGTTTTCCTCAGAGCCTCAGAAGCTGTAGGGCAACCTGATAGAGTAGTGGAAAATTATGAGAGGCATGAAGAGGGTGGATAATCAGTCTTTTTCCCAGGGTGGAAATGTCAAATACAAGGGGGCATAGGTTTAAGGTGAGATGGGAAATGCTTAAAGGAGGTGTGTGAGGCTTTTTTTGTTAAACATGGTGGTAGGTACCTGGAATGCACTGCCATTGGAGGTGGTAGAAGTAAATACGATGGTAATGTTTAAAAAGCCTTAAGGTAGATACACGAACAGGCAGAGAATAGAGGGATATGGACCATGTACAGGCAGATGAGATTAGTTTAGAATGGCATCATGGTCAGCACAGACATAGTGGGCCAAACAGCCTGTTTCTGTGCTCATAGAATCATAGAATCCCTACAGTGTGGAAACAGGCCCTTCGGCCCAACAAGTCCACACTGAACCTCAGAGCATCCCACCCAGACCATCCCCCTATAACCCACCTAATCATAGAACATAGAACATAGAACTTAGAACATTACAGCGCAGTACAGGCCCTTCGGCCCTCGATGTTGCGCCGACCTGTGAAACCAATCTGAAGCCCATCTAACCTAAACTATTCCATTATCATCCATAAGTTTATCCAATGACCATTTAAATGCCCTTAAAGTTGGCGAGTCTACTATTTTTGCAGGCAGGGCATTCCACGCCCTTACTACTCTCTGAGTAAAGAACCTACCTCTGACATCTGTCCTATATCTATCACCCCTCAATTTAAAGCTATGTCCCCTCATGCTAGCCATCACCATCCGAGGAAAAAGGCTCCCACTGTCCACGCTATCTAATCCTCTGATCATCTTGTATGTCTCTATTAAGTCACCTCTTAACCTTCTTCTCTCTAACGAAAACAGCCTCAAGACCCTCAGCCTTTCCTCATAAGACCTTCCTTCCATACCAGGCAACATCCTGGTAAATCTCCTCTGCACCCTTTCCAATGCTTCCACATCTTTCCTATAATGCGGTGACCAGAACTGTACGCAATACTCCAAGTGCAGCCGCAC